GTTTTTGCAGGTGTGATTTGGAAATCTGAGCGGAAGAAGAAAGCACTGCTGCTGTGCTAACCCACTGCTGCTGTGCTGGCACAGCAGAGCTGCTCCCTCTGTGGGTTTCCCATGTGTGCCCTGCAGTGGGCTGTGCCCCACCACTATATGCCCATCTTTGCTAATTTAGAATAAGCTTCTGGGTATACCTCAAAGAGAAAACTGCCATTTATTTAGGATATGCTGACCTGGTAAATGACACTCAGGCATCTTGCTATAAGAAGTGCAGCGTGAAGTCAGTGATGGAGTATCTCACCACTTAACTGTAGTGCCACAGGAGGTGCAAGAGCGTGCCTTCTGACACTGCTCATATTATTTGAGAACAGTACCAAGTGCTCCTGCATCTCTTTGCCCACTGTGCACACATCACCTCCACCACCCCACAGGCATCTTCTATGCCACAGCATATCTCCTGCAGTAAAGTCAGATGTGAGGGCTGTGGTGAGTGCTCCCATGAGATGCTGGGGTTTGAGAGACTCTGTCACCTTGTGTCCGAGGCAATCTCTCTTGTTATGCAGCTGAGAAACCAAGGGCAGTGGAGGTGGTATGGGTGCAGGGGGAGTTTCCTGCATTTTCTGCTAAAAGCTAATAAAAGTTGGTAATTTCTTCCTCATGTATTTGCACCCTCGAGGGCTGCTGACAAGATGTGGTATGTGGAGTGTGGAGGGTTCTCTTTGCACTGTGGGCACTTGCACTGTGTGAGGCACAGTTCCTGTGCAGGGACACCGAGCTCACACTCCAGCTATTTTTCCAGGCCACTGCCACTTTTGGAAAGTAGCCACTGGCACAGCTATTCCTAAATATGTTGGCCTATGTCAGTTTCCCCTTCCATAAAACAAATGGGACAATACTTGGAGGGAGATTTCAAATGACACCTCCCAGGAATCTGGGTGTCACAGAGTCTTTCCAGCACCACTTGAGCAGAGGCACCAGCACATGGCACATCCTGGTGCCGGTGCAGAGGTGACCGTGGAGGAAATATTTGGAAATAAAGCCTTTGAAACAAAGATGGATGTGAAACTTCTAGCACCCATCTGCACTCCGCAAGGACAACTGGCAGGGAAGGGAGGTGCAGTGTGGGCACTCCTGCGTGTGGCAGTGCACTGCTGTGCATGCTGAGCTCCCCTCTCTCCTCTGCCCCAGCCCCTCTGCTGGCTCCCTGTCCTCCCGAGCTGAGAGCACTGGTCAGAATGTGCACATGAGTCTTGCCTGTCCATTTGGTTTGTCCTCGGTCTCTTCTTTTATATTTCCTCGTTTCACATGTCTGTGTTTTCTCTCCTCCATGCTATGGCAGTGGTGCTCCATGCTGATGAGACAGTACGTGGTACAACCGCAGGCAGTCATTTTTCAGGTAATTTCCAGGATACTGAACACCTGACTCTTGCTTTTTCACCAACCAAGCAGGCCAGGGTTCCTGCTTCACAGGGACAGGCCCGATGGTCATGCAAATGCTGACTCACAAGTAGAGGTGGCGGAGCCAATTCTGAGACCCCTGTGCTGCAGCACTGATCCCTTCAGCTGCTTGCTGCTCTGTGTGTGTACTCACATGCACCACGAGAGGGGATCTCTCTGTGAGATGCTGAGCACAGGGCTCAGTGTCTCAGCCTGTCAGCAGTCACCTTCTGCAGCAGGATGCTTCCTTCTCTTCCCAAAGCTGCCTGCACTGCTGCTGCATTGGCCTAGTGCTGGTCCCAGCCATGGCCCAGCTGCTTCGTGCAGGTGATGACAGGGGCAGTTCAGGGGCTGGCTTCTGCCCTGCACCACGTGGCGGCAAGGAGGTGGTGTTGGGTCCAGAGCAGCTGGGACTCAGCCCACGTCTGCTGCTGGTGAGTGCCTTGTGTGCAGTTACTGTGGTGGCCCTTCTATGGTTTGTTGCCCTCCTGTGGCTTGTCAGCCTGGCTGTGGAGTGGGCAGCAGCTACTGCCTCTGAGGAGGGATGCAGGTGTGCCATGAGAACAGGGGAAGTGCCTGAAAATTCCATTGTTTGCACTTCTACAGCAGCAGGTGCAGGCTGGACTCCATCTCTGGAGCTCATCAGGCTCCTTCTCCCTGTGCAAGGTGACATGAAGGAGCAGAGGTGTGCCATTGTCCCTTCTCCCAGCAGAGTGTGCTATACCCTTCTAGCTATTTGCTTCTGCTGCTGTAACAGGTGAAATCCCTCTGAGCTTGATAAAAGCAAGTTCACTTATGTGATGTTGTCAGATCATTGCAGTTAAAATTTGAGACCTACTCCTGTTACAGTTTCCTCCTAGATTAGTTACTAGCAGCTCAAAACTGACGGAAGCTGTGATGCTTTGACATTTGCAGCATACCTGAGGCTCTCATGGCAGGGATTTTGCAGGAAGAGACTTGTAATGCCTCAGCTGGGTGTGGGCGAGGAGCAGCAGCCCCTGCAGCACATTTTGGCTGTGAGGGAGTTAAACACGAGGTGTCTCTGCAAGACTGCAGCTGTGCTTTCATTCATCCGGTCTCTTTTCAGATCGGGGCTTCAGCATGCCAGATACACATATGCAGGGGGATGCTGGGACTGCAGTGACAGAACAGTGTGGAGCAGTGTGAAGGCTGGCAGCTCCATGCAGAGCAGAGGCTGAAGAGCAGGACAGAGACCATGCAGCCTGCTGCGGCCCTGTAGGAAGCAGGAGGGCTGCCATAGAGAAGGCCAGATGGGGCTTCTGTGATGATTGCTCTGGGTAGGATGCAGGACCAGAAGAAGCAGCTTTGTCTGGTTGCGCCTGCAGGAGAATGGCTGGAAGCATCTCTGCAGAGGAGTGCTCCACCAGAAACTGTGCTCCAAAGGGTCAAAGGTATCAGAAGCACCGCTGAAGCAGAGATGTGGGCAGTGTGTATCTCTGAGGAGCCAGTGTCAGAGGAAAGAGACTGGGTTCATGAAGGTGAGGGAAATGTGAGGGTGAGGAGAGGTTTGGATGACAAATAAGCTGTAAGGGCTGAGGAACAGAACAAAATCTAAATGCAACTGAGGAATGCAGAAGATGATGATAAGTCTTTGATGATTCGTTCCTGATGAGAAGTCTTTCGAAGAACCATAGAACTGTTTGAGTTGGAAGAGAACCTTAAAAGTCATCTAGTCCTACTCCACTGCAATGAACAGGGACACTGGGCTCAGAGCCTCATCCAGCCTGACCATGAGTGTCTCCAGGGATGGGGCTTCACCTACTCTCTGGGAAACCTGTTCCTGTGCCTCTCCATCCTGACTGTAAAAAACTTCTTCCTCATATCCAATCTAAATCTTCTCTCTTTTAGTTTGAAACTTTTTCCCCTTGACTTGTCACAGCAGATCCTGCTAGAGAGTCTGCCCTTTCTTTCTTAAAGGCCCCTTTTAGATACTGAAATGCCACTCTCAGGTCTGTCAGAGCCTCCTCTTCTCCATGCTTCACAGACCCAGCTCTCAGCCTGTCCTTGTAATGCAGGTATTCCATCCCTGAGATCATTTTTGTGTCCTTCCTCTGGACATGCTCCCACAGGTCCATGTTTCTTTGATTTTTTTGCAAAGTTCCTTGCAGCACTGATCCATGCACAGGGTGGAGAGAATGGGTGGCCAGCAGCTGTTCCTTCTGGCAAAAGGTATTTGGCATGGTCTTGCGGAAGAGGTTTGTACGGCAGATCTCTCAAGGTGATGTGGGCACTGGTGCCTCACACAGATTGCAGCCTCCAATGAAATGTGTTTCTGTCTGTATGAACCTGCTAATAATAAACTATAAAACTAAATTCACTTTGCCTTGAGTAATAGCTGAGTAACAGAGACACAAACAGGTACACACCTGACCCAGAGCACTCAGCTGTGGCCAATCTCAGATTGTGTGGTGGGCATCTCCGGCATAAAGAAACCTGCAAAGACAGAGTTACTCAAGAAATGTTTTGTTCACTTAGATAAAAAATATTAAAGTTAATATTTTGATATGATAGCTCAAAAGATCACTGCAGGCTTAAGTAATTACTCATTACTTCATCCGCAGTGATACTGTGCGAATCCACCTTGGAGGTTTTATTAATTTTGTCTGTTCTTCACTTGAAGTCCTAGTTCTCTGACTGTTGTGGACTTATCTCAAAAATAAAGGATTAAAACTAGTGAAAATAGCAATAGGGAAGGGAGGACATTGAAAAGAAATGTCCTTGTTTTGTGTGAATGATCCTGCAATAAGAAACCATGAGGAACACTAATGAGGATGAGCTTTCTGCCGTGTACATGAGAGTCTTTCTGGGTGTGTGGATTGGCCTCCCTGCTGTAGATGGCCATAGCTACACAGACACCAAGGGGATTAGAGGACAGGAGGCGCCTGTTTTCTGAGGACGTGTGCTCAGCTAGTGAAACTTTGGCTGTTGTGCTTAAGGAATTTCCATGAAATGAGAGCATCCTTACAATGGTCAGGTTATTCATTCTTAAATAACGTGGCTTTTGAAACAGTTGATTTCAAATCCATTCATTAATCAAACACTTCTATTTAAGTGCACTCTACTTCTTATGAAATAACAAGAAAATGAAGCATGCCTAAGAAAAGCAGGCAAACAGGACATTCTGGTTCCCACCTACTTGCTCCACTGAATTAAGGAGAGTTCAACTTAATAGATGTGAATGGTTTTCTCTGACAAGCAAAAAACTTACACTTGTACCTTACAGGGCCGGTGCACTTTGCTTTACAAAACTTCCTTTTTATGGAAAGCTTTGTGCCACAGTGATGAGTTTAGCTTTCATTTTATCAGGAAAGCCCCGTTTGGTGTTTTCCAAGAACATTGGTGATAAGCACACACCCATTTATTTTTCTGACTGCTTAACACTATGGTTTACACTGACCATGTATTTACTGCCTTTGAAAAACTGGGCAATCTGACTGAACAAGAGCTTTTAAGGGGTTTCTGCATTGCAATTAGTATTTGCCATGCAAGGAAAAACTGTTGAATAGTGCATTTATTGTGGCTAAAATGTCTTTTGATTCTTCTTCCAGGCAACTGAATACTCAGCCATGGCATCATTAGCTGGAGGACTGGATGACATGAAGGCCAACATAAGCAGCCCTACTTCTGCAGATTTAGGAGCAAGTGTTCCTGGACCACAGTCATACCCTATCGTAACAGGTAAGCAGTTCTGTGTACACCAATAAGTGTTGTGGAGCAGTATGTGCACACACTGGGGTAGGGCGATGCTCTTCCTGAAGGAGTGATGTCAGATGTGAAATTGTTCCTTCCAGTCTCCTTGTAACTGTGTGATTTTATAGCAGCTCTGGTGAAAGTCAGGCGCACAGCTTGTATACATCATTAGTGTTCTCTCTGAGCCAACTGATGAAGCATGCCCTTTGACCATAAAGGTATACGGCCCTTCACTCCAAACCTGCGTTCTGGATACCCCCATATCACAGAAAAACAGAATGCTTCCTCTGCTTTTGGGATTGGTTGTTTGTTTTCCTGTTGGCACCTGGCATTTTTGACTGCATGACATTTTTATGACACTTTGAGCTAGCTTGAGTTTTGAGTGCTTTTGACTTCTACAAAGATTTTGGACCACTTTGGGCCAAACAAAGGTTCTGGACCACTTGACAGGACTGTACCTGTGCACTAAGACTGAGTAATTAAATGGAAAGCGATGGTTTCTTCTGGGATTGTGTGCATTTCTTCAGCAGGTGAAGAGTAGGAGTTAAGGAACAGCTGGGATTTATAATGGTGACGTGGTTACAGGGGACTGACCACATCGTGGGGAACTGGGGAAGGAGATAGTCCGAGTGAAAGAAAACTGTCTAGAAAAGGAATTATAGGAATCAGAAAAAAAAAAAAAAAAAAAAATTAAGGATCTGTACTTCCTGTGTATGTTCCCCTGTGTGTTACTTTTTTTTGGTTTAAGTATTTCTCATGCTTGTCTTATTACTCCTGCTGCCCCATCTGTGTGTGAAACTATGCAGAAAAACATATAATGAGAGTGAACTGTCCCAGAATAACCCAGAATTCTTGCAGCCCCTTGTCCCCAACTGAAGAAACTCCCCGATAAGTTACTTTTAGGCCAGGTAAGCCTTCTGGAAGTGGCTACATCCTCATATAATGCTAGTATGGTATGTCTAAGTAAGGGGAAGATGATGGCGTGTCAAAGACAGTGTCAGCAAGGGCAGTTGTTTCAGGGTATGGGTGGATCTGAGAGACAGGATGTCTGAGGAGCAGAGAGGCAAGCAAACTATGCAGTCAGAGCAGCACAGAGGGTTATGAGTTTTAGTCAGCGTACACACGCACACACACACAGAGGCATTCATTTAAATCATCCTGTAACCAGGAAGCAGAACCTCCCTAAGCAAACGCACGCTTACTTATTGAGCACTGAGAGATGGGGAACTGCCAAAAGGAGAGAGAAGGACCATGCTGGCACAGGATGTGATAGGCAGCGCCAACAGGGAATCTGCTGCTTCAAAGAGAACTTTGCCTTTCACCCCCATCACAGCCACTCTCCTGCTTTGATTCTGCCCAGGGTCTGCAGGGTTTGTCCCGTTGCACGCCGTACCTGCACAGCCAACACATGATACAGAGCCCAGCTGGAACAGCTGCTTGCAAAGCAAGTCTTTGCACAAACAAGCTCAGCTCTCTCTTCAAAACAAGATACTTGTGGCTACAGCCACAGTATCAGTTCCCTTAAAACTGTCAGAATACTTTCTTCCATCCTTGGATCATTCTTCAGTCAAGGGCCTGTAGGTCCATGACACAGGAGTGACTGGGTCAATGCTATCAAAAGCAATTGAGTCTGAAATGCTAAGCCTTTGACTCATCAAATTCAAGGCTAATTGAATCCTGCTCTTAGAGTATGTTTAAAAATAATCTTCCATTCACGGAGCCATGGCCACTGAAGCTGCAGTGGAAAGCAATGTCAAGCTATAAGTAATTTAGTGTAATGGAGTGGGAGAAAAGGGGAATTTCTTTATTTAGACCCAAATTAGCAATATATTTTATAATCAAGCTTTTATTCTAACTCACATTTCTTTGGCATTTCAGAATGTGTTTTGCCAAAGAAAGAAACATAGGTAGAGTTCATACTGAACTAGCAAAAATTAGTTCTGGTTATAATCTTCTTTCAATGGCCTCTGTGGGACACATGTATGTGCACGCAGATATTTACACTTTGACAGATTCACAACCCCTTTGCTTTGATACAGAAGCAGCGACACTACGGAACATGGTTAGAGGGCAACACCAGTAGTAGTGGATGATTGGACTAGATGAGTTTAGAGGTCTTTTCCAACATTAATGATTCCATGATTCTATGGCTACGGTGACAGCAGCAGCTGTTCAGTTGCTGCAGCTGTTGGCAAAGCATTTGTGGTGGGTGCAGATACTGAGGGCCTCGAAAGAGCAGATCACAGCTCATACAAGTGTCAGTCTGAGGCCTCTGGAAGCGGGCAAGATGCATCCAGCAGTTCCCAAATAACTTCCTGCTGAACCTACAGGGCCACCAGCAGGATTTCCCTTGTTTTGTAAGCTCAACCAGCACGGCAGGGGCCTGGTAGGTGGTGAGGGTAGTCACTCCTTCATGGTATTTCAAAAGACAGGAATACTCCAGGTAATGCTTATTGTTTGCTTTTCTTCATTTAGAAAAACCTCTAGCTAGAGACTAATAATCTGACTTGCCAGAAAGCTGTGATGAAAGCTTTATGCATAACAATCATCTTAGGAAGCCTCAAACATAGAATAGGCATGAATGGTTACTTTTCACCAGCAGCAGGGATACGCTGAAGTCTTATTCTTAAACCACCTTTGCTACATAGGGTTTCTGAAATCATCTTGTTTGTATTTGACTCCTCGTGATTTGATTGGGGAAGATTGAGTGGTAACTCTCAAGGACTTGAGTAATTGCAGGTATCTTGACTCCATGTGTAAGGTAACAGCAATGGATTAAGTGCTTCTTACCGTCTTGCATGAGAACTCTAAGTTCTCATTCCAAGTGCTGCAAGGACTTTACAATTCATCCTGAGTAGGCTGGAGCAGATTTGCTGTGAAAAAGAGAAACAGATCATTAAGAAGTAGGTGAAAAGAGGGAAAAAATGTATACTGCCACTTTAGTGCAATGCAGTTGGCTTGGGTGCTTCTTTCTATTCACTCTTTTTAGTAAAAGAATATGGCATATACTGAAATGGCAAAATGGTATGTCTTGATTTAAAGCATAAAAAGAACCTGATGCGACCTGCTGGAGAGGAGCTCTGCAGAGAGGGACCTGGGTGTCCTGGTGGACGACAGGTTGCCATGAGCCAGCAGTGTGCCCTTGTGGCCAAGAGGGCCAATGGCATACTGGGGTGCATTAAAAAGAGCGTGGCCAGCAGGTCGAGGGAGGTGATCCTCCCCCTCTGCTGTGCCCTGCTGAGGCCTCATCTGGAGCACTGCGTCCAGTTCTGGGCTCCCCAGCACAAAACAGACAGGGATCTCTTGGAAAGAGTCCAGTGGAGGGCCACCAAGATGGTGAGGGGCCTGGAGCATCTCTGCTATGAGGAAAGGCTGAGTGAACTGGGTCTGTTCAGCCTTGAGAAAAGGAGACTGAGAGGGGACCTGATCCAGGTCTATAAATATCTGAGGTGTGGGGGGCAGAATGGCGAGGCCGGACTCTTTTCAGTGGTGAGTGGAGACAGGACAAGGGGAAATGGCCAGAAACTGGAGCATAGGAAGTTCTGCACCAATGTGCGAAGGAACTTCTGTACAGTGAGGTGACGGAGCACTGGAACAGGCTGCCCAGGGAGGTGGTGGAGTCTCCTGCTCTGGGATGTTCAAGACCTGCCTGGATGCCTACCTGTGCGACCTGCTGTAGGGAACTGCTTTGGCAGGGGGTTGGACTCGATGATCTCTGGAGGTCCCTTCCAACCCCTACAATTCTGTCATTCTGTGAAGCTCACAGGTATCCTGAAAATTTTTTTTTCTGTGTTTTTCAAGAGGCTGCCCTGGGCAGAAGCATGACATGATTTATCTGGTGTGTTGTTATGGGAATCTACCTCAGGTGCTGTTGATGCTGGTGCCTTCCAGAAGCAGGTCTGTCCTTAGGTCTCAGCCAGAAAGATGACCTCAAGTGAGCAGGTGCCTTGTACTGCCTCTCAGATCATGGAGCTTCCTTTTGTTGCTGCTAGGATGTTTCTGTGTTCCTTCAGCTCCTAACACCAGCTCTTTCAGAGGCCTTTTATGAGAAATCTTGTGTTTCAGACTGCATTCATGTGTAGTCTCTTCAGTTCTGTATAAGAAAGATCCATCCACAGTTAAAAGAACTGTCACTGCCTCCTTATCTTACTTACTCGGCGTGACTGACAACTTTCTTATGTTGCAATCTCTTTAGTGTTTGGTGAGCAGACTGACTGCATTACTCACGGCATAACTGACTATAAAAACGATGCTGCGAACCTTTCTATGTATTTCACCTCTGTTCTCCTTCTAACATCATATACACTTGAACAAAAGCTCTAAATGTGGAATTTACTTCTTCTCATTGAGTAAGTGGAGCAAGCTTTATGAATAGCTAGCCTACAAAAAACGTGCTGTTGGTCTTAAATGTGACAAGCTGAGATCTATAACAAGACACATTTTACCAGGTGTAAGTAAAAGCAGGTGTTTGTATCTCTACTTTGATACTGCTGTAAACTTTTCTAACACCAGCATTCATAAAATTTAGATTTACAGAAGAGCATGAAGACCCTTTTAAAACCTGTGCTATTGGATATATTTTCAGGAAAGATTTTCAGACTGTTATTTGCCAGTTTTCTTTTGTAACTCACACCATAGCAGTTCTTCTGGAGGGACCCAGAAGCCCCCGGCACGCTCTGAGCCCACTGACGTTGAGCATGTACCATACAGCTGAGTTCTGCTCTGCTCTGAGGCTTTTGTAACAATCTCAGGGTTTACACAGATTTCAGAGGCAGAAAGATCTAAGCAGTAAGCCAGCTTTTTGTCTGAAACAAACAAGGTGTGTGAATTACAGTGCACTTGTTGGCACAGTTCTCATCATAGTTCTGGACATACCTCTATTTTCTCCCACAGATTAATGGATGCTTTTAGTCATACCTCTTTTTATTATGTCAGGGCAGGGAATTCAGATGAGGAGACATATTTGTCAACCCCACTTTCACTCGTAA